AACTATTCGTCCTTATGTAAAAAAATATTATATTTCTTAATTCTACAGAATTATTTTCTTTATCTGATACCCATTGTTATTCTGCATTGCACTAATTTTTTTTAATAATTTTTGGAGTTAACCTTCTCTTTGAAACTTCAAGTCCTTTCAAAATAATCACACAGAAATACTAAAAATCCAGTTTTACTATTTTGGCCCCTGGTTTCGCGAATATATTGTTTTTTCTTCTGGTGCGAAAAATTTACTGTTGCACTTTCTTAGCAATCGTTTATGCTAACAGCAAATATACGAGTACACTTTGCCCCACTTCCGTAACCAGAAATGTTTCACATAAAAACCAATACCGATCTAACTATAAAGTGTACGCTTATAATTAGTAAGACATCTTCAAGCCGGTGTTCAACTACCGGTTACCTATCGTGTTCAGTACCACGCTCACCTTCGCAATTGTCTGTTTGGTAATACAGTCATCTTCAATTTAAAAAAATGTCTCCTGACTATCAATGGTAACTGATTACATAATCAATAATCATTCATAAATTTGAATGTTGTTAATATTTATGCAATTTTTTTGTTGCTTTTTAAATATTTATTTTCTTTAAACAATCTTTTTCCTAAAACTCCTATTCAAAATACATAAATTTATTTTTGTATGTCTGTATATACGAACAACACATTTTTCTGGCTTTGATTATTGCATTGCGATTGCAGCGATTGCTCCAACTGGTTTTGCGTGCCAATGAAAATTTTATTGTACAACAGCAACAAGAAAAATATCAGTGAATTAGCGAAATAAATGCACATAGATAGATTGCAAAAGAAAAAAAAATTGAAAACATATTTATTAAAATAATATTTAAACGCAGCAGTTATACGTACGTGTGAAAGAGAGAGCAAGAAAGAGACCGGGTATGGAACAGCTAGCGAAATCAATGTAATGCTAAGCCGCAGCAGGAAGGGGAAGAGAAAAAAACGTGTTGTGGAAGTATTGAGTAGTAAAAAATGCCATTATTATATGTACATATGTACATACATAAATGTATGTGTATTTAACTATGCATATACAAAACTATAAACATAAATTTTTAAACTAAGTTACATCAATATATCTTTTTTATTTGCATATAAACATTAGACTGGGTTCATCCTAAGACCGAAAACTTAATTTTGGAAAATTTTGGTGTTAAGAAATTTAATTATAAAAGTGGTAAAAATTTAGTATTCATAGTTTTCGTTTTTCGTTTTCATTGTCTTCGATTCCTTAGTGGACTGGTACCCAGCGCAGTGTTACCGTGTTTTTGGCTGCTAAAATTTGTAGCGTGTCAAAGCAGTCTCTAACTAGCTTGGATTTCATAGTCCTGTCAAAGAGGGTAGATAACAAGAAGCGACAACTTGTTATAATTGTAGCGAAAGTGAGCAACAGGGGCGTGCCTTCTCTTTTTATCTAGTACGTTTTTTGATTCGTTGAGAAGAGAAGGCATGCCCCTTGTTGCGTACATTCGCTACAATTATAACGCGTTGTCCCTTCTTGTTACCTACATCCTTTGGTCCTGTTTAAAAGAAAACTAGAAAGGCAGGTAGCCCATTTGGCCAATCTTCGCAATCGGGAATTGTAACTTGGAACTTTTTGCTAAAGCAGATCTCTTTAGGCATGGAATTAGAGACTCTGCATAAGTCCAAACCTGGTGTTTTCCCAAGAATACCGGCATGAAGTTTCTTTGTGAAGAAGCCATCGTTAGATAGTCGAGGATTTATGCTAACGCTCTCATTAGCACACGTAAATTAAAAGAGCTGTTACGATTGTAATAAAACTGCAGGATCGTGCTATTTTTGTAATGCTAAATACGAACATGCCATAAAATTTATGGTTTCAAATCAACTGCTAATTTCTCTAAAATTAAGAAACTTTTCTCGAAAATACCACTGATAAGGTTTTTGGGTACGCTAGTCACGATTTTTATGTCAAATTAAAATTTTGAGAGTTGACAGCTGTCAAATGGACTGTTAATTTTTTCTAACAATAAGACAATTTTTTTTTAAATGCCCTTGATAAGGTTTTTAGGTACGCTAGTCACGAATTTTATGTCCAATTAAAACTTTCAGAGTTGACAGCTGTCAAATGGACTCTGAAGTTTTCTAAAAATAAGGAAAATTTACCATAATTTCTACGGCGCGTTATGAGTTTGCAAAATTGCCCCGGTCTAATGTACACATTTATGTATATATATAAACGATTGTGTTGATTGCATTGAATGACCGCTTATTCACAGCTTAAACAATTATTACAAATGGTTTTATGTACAAGTGCTCATTTCCAGTATCCACAAGCACACGTTGTTGTTTTGATGTGGGTATTGATTTTCCCAGCTGGGAAACGGAGATTACCTGTAGCCACCAATCTGCTGCCAAAACTTTTTTATATTGGCTACACCAAAACCTCTTATCACTATTGGACATATACATACATAGCTTGTACTTATGATATCAACTTACGCCTGTTCATATACATATCTTAAGAAAGTTTCATCTAAAATCATTGAGACTTCATCAGATTTGAAATTCCCTTCTATTTTAGATTTTAAAAGAGAGTTTAGACCACCTAGTAATGTCGACCAGATATATTACTGTGGTTAATCAGATTTTTCGATGATTAGGTGTCTAGATATCGTACATTCCTAGTAAAAAGGCTACGTATATTTTACTTTAGCATTGAGTTATACTTTGAATGAATGTTCCGACAGGGTTAAAATCTGTTTGTTAAACAGCAATTTCGCACGAATGCCAATAAACTAGTAATAAATCTAGCTTACAGCAAAGGAGCTTTAAACAATTAAAAAAGCAAAGCAAAAACATTTCGAATCAACTAAATATTTAACCGAATGCACGTTTAAAACATTTCGATTTGGTGGAATTAATCCGAAATGGTGTGCGAATAAAAAAACTAAAAAAAACGACGCGCCTTAGTAGTTGTTTACTATACCATATAACATATTACGAGGGAAATACTACCCTCTTGAGAGCTAAAAACGTAGCTTTATTATTTGCCACACAAATTTAGTAAACTTCCTATAATTTCATGCAAGAATTGACGACATAAACGTTTATTTGACGTGTTGATTTCTTAAAATTTTCTTTATCCAAAACTTCGAACAGAGTACCTCCGAAGTTGTACGCTAGAGTTCTAACCTATCATCTATTGTAGTCGAGTCCACCACGTGAGCAAAGTTACTCCTTTGTTTCACATATTATAAGTATTCGAATTCTGAACTTTGAGACAGAGCCCTACGATTTTATTTTGCTAAAGTCATAAAATGTGCACAGGTAAAATGTGTAAAATGTAGTAAAATATTCAGTTTGCTTTAACCAAGTGCTAGATTAACCCAATACTGGGCTTAAGCTTACACATTGTCTATATCTAATATAATGGGGATGAGCTTCATTTTGAGCTTTGGGAATACACTTCGGTTTTCCAAGCTGATATGTCTACAGTCCCCCAAGGCCGTGGACTGCATTAACTAGCATAATGGACTTGTTTTACTTTGAATGCTAGGTCGCTCAGGAAAACCTGATGGCTCAGACCTTGGTCCGCAACCAGCCATATCTCTTCCATCTACAAACCTCTCAACCACCCGCTGGAAAAGGGTGAAAATTTCGTTTAGCAATAACTGAGAGACATTGAGGAAGCCGAAGTTTTTTCAAAAGTCTAAGTTTAACTCTAGTTTTAGGTTACTTTTTCGCATTTTTACTGGATTTATGGCTCAGTGTTGTTATATTTATCGGAATTACTTCAATTAAAGATTTATTAGAGCTCGCTTTGATGGGTATATTCTTTTCAGACGATGTTATAATTATCATTCAAGATTTATGGAGAAAACAGCAAACAAATATAATGGCATTTTATTTTTTATGTTTACAGTCATTCGAAAATAAATTATGTATACATATAATTATACGATATGCGTTTAATAGCAAGGGCAATTGGAATTTATTAAAATATCAATAACGATAACAAAAAGCACAACTATACCATTATTCTGTTTCGATAAAAACAACGATAACGATAATTATGACATATATGTACTATACAATACGAGGCAATAAAGCTAGTAACTACAGAAGCATAACGATGTCGATAATATCAAAGTCGATGAAAATAACGATAGTGACAGCAATATCGATAACGATAACAATATGTGGTTTTAATAAAAAGTTTGATAGCGACAACTGTGTCAAAGTAAATAGCGATAATCTTTAAACCGATAAATATCGAAATCGATAAAAATATATGTAGCTATAACAATACCGATAACGATAACAAAGGCAATATGATATTTCGATAAAAACGTGGATAACGATAACTCTGCCGACAACAACAACGAAAACAATAACAATAGCGAAAAGATGCCTATAAATATCAAAATCCATAAAATTATCGATAGTTATGGCAAAATCACTAGTTACAAAAATGTCCTGTAACCAAAATAGTGATAAATAACTATAATACAAGTGCCTCAACTTTTTCAAAATTAATAGAAAATCTTTTTTTCATCAAAGTATTGAGCCCAGTTTTATATTAGGGGTGTTCCCTAATCCTTACACGATGTACCGACAGCACGGCTTGCAACGTTTTCCCATAGACGAACCACTTCTACCGTGGAACCCGTGCGCCATGTGAGGAATTTTTAAGACTTAGAGAATACGCCTATTCCTTTGTATAAGTGCATTTTTAAACACTTTGCTTAGCTTTCTTATAAATCATAGGAGTTTTGTAGTTTTTTTAAGCATTGACCTTATAAAAAATTTTAGTCAATATTTTCTTGTTACAATACTTACCCTTTTTACTAAATTAAAAACATGTATGCTTCTTCTTCTTTCAGCACATTGAATCATTGAACTCCTGAAAGGAAAAAAACAACGGCAAGAGTCAAAATCAAAGTGAAATTTTGTGTTTAAATAAGAAATAATCGCGCGAATAAGTAAATAAAAAAGGAAGGGTAAACAAAAACATATTTGATTTAAAAAATAAAATTTTTTAATTAAAACTAAGCGACCTAAAAGAAAATAAACAACCGCAAAAGGCGAAGGAAGAGACTCTAACTAAGAAAAACCAACAAACTCGTATTGTTTGCTCAATCAAACACAGTTTCACTTTCAGTTGGTGGCAGTGTTGTAATAGCAAAATCAACAACAACAACAACAACAACAACAACGCCACAGCCACAGCAGTAATAATTGCAACAAAAGTGAAGTGCGAAGTGCAAAATTCAACGCCAACTGTAAACATATTTCCATTGAAAAACAGCAACAAAATACACACACACACACACACAAACAGTGAACAAAGCATTTATACGCATTTTCAATTCGCACATTTTCCAACTTTAAATTTTTGCTCACTACTTTTCGTCGCCAATTTCGGCTTCGTCGATTTTCGTCGTTTCGCTGAAAAATCGCGCGTAACGCGTCGTCCTCTATACAAACGTTCGTCTTCTGTCTCTACGCGCTGCTTCTTTTTCTCCAACTTCTGCAACAGCCTAGTCTGTGAGATTGTGTGTAATTTCTTGCCACTTCGTGTTCAGCTAACAATTTGCCACACACAAACACGCATACATACAAACATAGACAACTGTGTCGCCGCCCGCTTGCCGTGTGCGAATTCGCTTTGCAGAGCTTTTTTTGGATAATTTGCGGGCCTTCAGACTTCAGACTGTGGTAAGTTGATGCATAAGTTTAACGATTACATATTTATGTTTGTGTACGTATATATATGCATATGTATGTGTGCATGTTAAGGTGCATATGCTGTTCTTATTATTATTTAATTTATGAATTTTTATGCAATGTGCACATAAAACAATAGCAAGAAAAATGCAAGCTATGAATGAATGTGGAGAAAAATGAGCAAAAACAATGACTGCAACAATTTAATTAGTTTGTATTTTATGCGCTGAGTTTTTTCTTTTTGTTTTTGTTTAAATTTTTTCCGTTTTGCACATTTTTTTTGTTGCATGCAATCGCCGCGCAAAACAACACAAAAAAAAAATGGTGTTACGTATACGCCATGTTGCGCGTTTTGAAATTATATGCGTATGTATGTACATGTATGTATTTTGGGTTGTTGTTCATGTTCCAAGTGTAATTTTTTAATTTATATAATTTTTTTTGCAATAGCTTTGCCATGAGTTTTTTTATGTTTCATATTTCATTAAAAAAATAATGACCTTTCATTCAAAAAGTAAAAAATTTTTAGTTTTGTTAATTTTTATTAACAAAAATATCACAAAAGAATAGTTAATTTTGAACAGAAGAAAAAATTATCTAAAATTTTTTATTTTCAGTTTCCAAAAAAAAAAAGAAATTGTAAATCAGATTTCAGATCTTTAATGGCTACCACGGCCGAAAATCTTAAGCTTTTCCTTGGAATTGTTTATTTTGCATTTCATTGGCGTTTTTTCGTCGAACTAAAATAAATGTTTACAAATAAAACAGATTTGGTTTTTATAAACTCGCCACTGCATTGCATTTCTGCTTGGATATAAACAAAAACTTAGTCTCTACGGGAATGCGTTGGTGTTACTGAAGAGATTAAAAATAATTAACTCAAATGGAGAATAACGAATATTTAAAAAAAAAATTAAATTCACTTTAAATTCCGCATTATTTTTAATAATAGTAAAAAAGTGCCAGCTATACCGATACATTAGCGCCACTAGAAATATCAAATTTTGAATTCCGTCTAATCCTTGAGATAGACTGAATAAAGTACAAAACATTAAACTGTATTTACATACATATTTGCAAGCATATTCACTAATGTTTTAGTGCTTATCTAAGCGCTTAAAATTGCTTTTTGCTTGCACATACATTTCTAAAATATGTATTACTTTTCGTTTGTGTTTTTTTTATTTTCTCCTATTTGGCTTTTTGTTAACATGTTAAAATTTTTCACCGCTATTTAGATTTAAATTTTATCTTCTATAAAATAATACTATATTTTTTTTGATTTTTTGCACATTTTGCCCCTTTTTGATTTTGGTACTTAGTTTTAATTTCGATTCGTAACTTAGTGAATTTCGATACAACATAAATATTTGCCTGAAAATTTACAAATTCTAAAGTCTTTTTTATGAATTTAATTTAAACGAAATTTTCGCTGCAAAAAAACCTCATGGAAACCATAGTTACTCATTCTTTGGCGGCCCTTCTAAGTGTTTTATAGTTTACATATTTGGAATTTTTTTTGTCGAGCGAAAAATGGCAGTGAAGCCAGCGGTTTGTCTCCAATTCAAACTCCTCAAGGGATGAGAGAAAATTCTTTCAAAAATAAACCATCTTTCCAGTCGGCAAAATCAACCAACACCTACATATATATTTTTTTTAATGATTCTTAATCATTTTCCACCAAACGTCTTCCAAAAAATTTATTATTTTACTTTTACTACTTCAATTTTGTACTATTTTTTTTCTAGTTTTCTTTTTTAATTCTATGTAAAAATTTTGTGTTAGTACTTTATTATTATTTTTTCTTGTTTTTGCATAACTGACATTTCCACTTGCAAAATTTTTGTACTAGTTTAAGTCACGTTTAACCTTGACAGCAAACATTTCTAAGAATTTTACTTTCTGCTTATCATGCAGACTATTTAATTCGAGGTTATAGGAAATTCAGATATGAAATGTGCACTTTGCTGGTACTTCTTTTGTTTTTTTTTTTTTTTGATTTTGAAAAGAAAAGCATACATAGCATTTGCCAACAAAAAAGAAATTACATACTTGACCAAGCAAAATTCATTACCTGGTGGCACAGTATAAGTTTTTATTTATTTTAACAATGTAAGAAAACCCTTCTTCTTTTTTTATGTGGAGTTCAACCAAACACGCCAGTCGTCTCTCTTCTGTGCCAGTCTCTAGAAAAGTTGCAGTTGCTTGGTTTTGTATATCGATCAGGTAAAATTTTTATTGTAGAGCTGAACGAAAGCACTCTGATTTGCACATACAACAAATAGTATGCAAGATAAAATGGAAGTGGAAGGGGTGTGGATATTAATGACTCGCGAATCTATTAATCAAATTTATACCAAATTTGATCAAAAAAATATATATATTTTTTTTAATTTGCGCCTCTTTTTCTAGAATTGGTGGACTTTAATAAATATAAACCGATTGTTATCTTCTTTTGGATGTATGTTTTTATGGTAAAAAACAGCATATAATCTGAATTTCATCAAGATCGAATAACATTTACTATTTTCGCCCAACAAGAGCTGTGGGCGTGGCAGCTCGTCGACATTTACCATTTTCCACATTTCTTCACTATTAAGTGCAGAATAGCGTATATACGAAATTTCAGCGAATTTGTCGTACGGTTACTACTTTTGGCCGCAGCTTATATGTGGACGTCCCACTGTGCACCTTAATGTACATCCCTTCTTTGAAAATATACACACTTATTTCACTTTATTTCACTTTTTATAACTTCATGTAAATTTATTTTATTTTATTTCAACCTCTTTATTTTTTTTCAACACCATTTTTGTGTTTATTTTCGGTGAAAGTGCAACATAATTACTCACGCCCTTTTGGGCTTTCAATCATCAATACATGTCTGGCATGCCGCCCCTTAACACTTCTTCACACTTCCGTTTGTAAGATTCGTTTAATTTTTTTAATTAGTTAAACTCCGTTGCTTCAGCCATCTTAGCATGTCTGTCACTCGTGTACATATTTTTCATTTACTTATTGTTGTTTTCGGGTGTTTGTCCGATTTCATTTTGGCGATAATTTTTAACAGATAATTTATATTCAATTACCGAACAACTGTAAATGCCTTTTGCTTTGGTTGGTATTTCACCAGTTGCTGTTAGGAGTATTCGTTGCAGTCGTCGCCTGTCAACCAGCGGTCATTTGGTTAGTAATGTGGTGTGATAAATCCGTGAATGTTAGGGATTAAGTGGAAAGTGGAAAAAAAATTGTTTTTGTTTAGTGTTTTGGGAATTTTATTTCATCTGATAATATGGATGTTTAGTCATACTTTTTTTTTTGTTTGAAAAAAAGGTGCTGATTTTATTCTTGTTGCTTCTTTGTCTAAAAAAGCTTGTTTTTACTTGAAATATTTGTTTTCGTATTTTGTATTTTTTAGGAGATGTTATTTATTGCTAGCTCTTGCACTAGAATTTTCCACACTCGAAAAATTATCCGAAATCATTTTCAGATTTTTTTTCTTACAGTTAAAAAAAAAAAATTCGAATGCATACTTGTTGCGTTTGGCATTCCTGAGAAGTAGATTTTTTAAAATCCTTTTCGCAGTATTTCGCCGCCACGCAGTTATTTCACCTATTTAAAATGTGTTTGTAGTCTCTGAATTTTCGCGTTGTTCCTATTTCTATGCACCCGTCTTTTGTATTCAACCCAGCCCACTCATTTGCAGTCAAGGTGCAAGTTCCGCTTCGGGCCTGCATACTTTACAAGTTGAACACCTGAGAGCCGAAGCTCAAAGCAAATCCGTTGCCATGGCTGTTACATTGTTTTGTATACAAAGAGTTGGAAAATATTTTCATTTACTTATGTATTTGCATTTTTTTTTTCAAATCTAATTTATTTATATTTATTTCGTACCGTTTGTTGTTTTTGTTGTTCATTTGTGCTTTGAGAGCAGCTAAAACAATGCAATTGTTAAATTGTTGCATCAATAATGAAAAATCAGACAATCAAGTAGGCATACACTCTGGCAGATTGGTAGACAGATAGGCAAAGACATAAGATACAACAAAGACAAATAAACGCAGAGAGAGGGGTACGAGTGAGGTTTGTGTTTTTACGTAATTTTTTGATGCTGTAACTTTTTTGTTTTGTTTCTTTTTTACTTGCAAGTTTTTGCTTTTTATTGTGCCACTTTATATTTATATTTGCATTTAGATTTTCATATTGTCTGCAATAAAGCCATATTTTAACTGCATTTTTTCAATGCCTTTCCCTCTGAGTAGTCTTTTAGGTTATGCACCTTTTCTTTGTTAATTTTTAAAGTGGCGAAGCCCACTTGAAAAGAGTGTCAAAAGGGCGAACAAAATATGAAAAAAAGAAGAAAATATTTATTACATCTACACATAAAGTATTGTGCCCTTTTTGTGTTACTTTTGCACGGAAAAGGAGAAAATTATTATTATTATTTAATAGCAGAGCGGTTAAATTTCCATTACGATTAGTAATCATTAATTTTTTGCACTTTTTAATTTTAATGATTAATTTAATTTTCTTACATAACCTAGCAATTAATAATTAATTACAATTAAAGATAATAAAAAAATCATGATTAATTGTCATTAAAAAAATAATCAAATATTTAAAAATTATCAAATAATTAGAAATAATCAAAATAAATCAAATTATTATTTTTTTATTTATTTTTTTTTGTTATTATTTAATTATTTTTCATTATTTGATTGTTTTTAATTATTTATAATTATATGATTATTTTTAATTATTTTTCCTAGAATGAATAGATGAAGCTGTGTTTGGAGGTCAAATTTGTATAAGTTAGAATTAAATAACTTAAACCAAATTCAGAGGACGAATAAATATTAGTACTGTAGTTTACAAGCAAGAAATGATTTTTCGCAGACATTGTCAACAGAAATAATTATGTAGAGGCAATATTGGAGCAGATCTAACATATAGACACAAGTACATACATATGTAGGTATATTATTTGCAAA